GTATCACTATGGAAGTAGATTGCCCAACCTTCCTTCCGAGGAGGGGCTGGTGGGTTTGAACCGCCAGCCTTCTGGTTAGCAGTCAAGTGCCTTAGACACTATGCTACCAGAGCTCCCTAGCAGTTCTTATGGTTCAACCTAAATATCTAAACAAGTACAGTTTGGCTTTGTGTATGATGAATTAGAGGAGTGTAATAATGGAAGGAAAGAGCAGTTAAGCTGTTGCTATAATCCATGTAAGAGACTCCAAAATAAAAACCAAACTCACTGCCATCGAGTCGATTCTGACTCATAGCAACCCCCTTTGGGCAGTAAATTTTTACGGATGTAGATTGCCCAGTGGAGTGACTGGTGAGTTTGAACTGCCAGCTTTCTGGCTAGCAGTCACATGCCTTGGGGATTACACCATCAGAGCTCCTGTAAGAGACACTAGCTTGTATTTTGGCAGTAGAAGTTGTGATGTAGAGAACTAGAGGATTTAAAGAAGGTAAAATTTTGGTTGGTGATAAATTACATGTTTGAGTAAAGGGTTCTGGAACGTCAGTCATTCCTAAGTTTTGGACGTAGAGTGGAATAATTGCATAGATAGAGGATAGTGCCATTCATTTATATTACAGAATATAGGAAGAGCAGCATTGGACAACACAGCAGATTCAGATTTTCATATACTGAGTTTGAGATTCCTGTAGAACATCCTAATGGAAATGTCAGATAGGTGTGGAGTCTTCTGGTTTTAATATCATGGCAGAAATTTGGAAGTCACTGTCTTACACAAGTTTAGTTGACAACTAAAGCCATGGCAGTAGAGAGTCTGAAAAAAGGTGAGAATTTTATCAAAAAGTGTTTGGAATCATAAGTGTTACAGAGTTGGAAATAAGAAGACTTCACTTCTAGGTCCTGAGGTTACATGGTGTTTGGGAGAGTGCATAGCCTTCATGTGAGGACTCTGTAACAGAAGGGGGCCAGGTTAAGCTAGAAGGATGAAAGGAAAATTTTAGCCAAGAGATTAATGAAGAATAATTGGTCAACCATGGTATGTCTAGAGTTCTAAAGGACTAAGTGCAGAGATTTTGTAGGTCGGGCAGCAGTAGGGAGTTGGCTTGAGGGAATGATATAGTCAGGGCGTAAAGCAGTATTTGGCTCACCTGGAGGACTTGTTAAGACATGGCTGCAGCCACCTCCAGCGTTTCTGACTCAGTAGGTCTGGGGTCTTCAAGGTTGGCACTTTGTACTCAGACTGTGATTTGCTTCCATAAAGATTTGTTGTTGGTAGGTGCCATTGAGTCGATTTCGACTCATGGCAGCCCCATTTATACAAATAGAAATGCTCCCTCCCTAAGTTTCCAAGGCTGTTACCTTTCAGAAGCAGGCCACCAGGCAAGTCTTCCAGGGTGCCTCTTGGTAGGTCTTACTGCCAAATTTTAGCTAGTAGAGCGCTTAACCATTTGTACCATCTAGGAACTCCTCAACCCAGATTAAATGGCTACTTTTCCAGTCTCCCTTATAGCTTGATATGGTCATGTGATTACGTCCTGACCAGTGAGATACAAAGTGGAAGCATTGTGTGGGACTTACGGGACATCTCTGCATGGGCACACTGTTTCTCCTTTCTTTTATTCTGCTGCCTGCTGGAGTTCCAGCTTCTTCCTTGGATGATGAGGATGAGGGCTGCACCCTAACAGAGCAGAGAGCTGGAACCTGGGTCACTGGAGACTTGTTACATGAGTGAGAAATTAACTTTTTTTTTTACTTAAGCAACTGTTATTTCAAGTATATTATATTGTATGCAACTTAAACCTACTATAGTAGTTTTTAATTTTTTGTTGGTAGTCTTGAATTTTGTGGTTATTTAATGATGTGTCCTTCAAATAAAGATAATTTCAAATATATAAAAACCCTTCTTATTTTATTTGTTAGTATTCACTGTAACCTTCAAAAATAAGTTGAGTAGTTGTGATAATTTTGTCTATTCCTGTCTTGTTCTTTGAAATAAACAACTTTATTTAGAAAACCGTTTAAAGTAGAGGGGGAAAAAAATTTCAGGTGGTTCCTAGTAAACTAGAATTTTAAGGCGACAGAAGTCCAAATGGCCACAAAACAGAAAAGGCACCACTGTCATTTGAACAATGTGTGTTTTTTGTTGGCATTGTTAATCACTGAATCTGTGTTTTCCTCTGAATTCCACACACAGTATGCACCACACAACAACTTTATCTTGAAAATACCTGCTTACTACACACATTTTAGGATAAGCTTCCACCAGAAGCAAATCAATACAAACATATGAGGGCTGAGCAATTTCAATAGTGTGTCTCTGTCTTGTTGTTAACTTTAATAAAG